ATGAGTGAGGTGTGTAAGTGCTGCAATGCACGATATTTTAGTAGTGAACCTATGACGATATGCTGTAATACAGGTTTAAACATAGTGCCCGAAACGATTTTTAAATGCGAACGAGACGAATTACTGTCATGGTTCTGTGACATTGCCCTCTACAACAAGGATGTATTTCAAATGTTGTGTCCAACCAACAATATATTGTCTTGTGCTGGAATCAATATGAAGCTTAGAGAATTTGATATACGTTGCGGACCTGTACCGTTGGTTTTGGAAGGAAAATATCAAATGGGTATATCTGTCATTTGAATGAAGAAGATTTGAATGAGGAAGAAGAGAAAAAACCCTGTTTTGCTCAAATATACGTGGCAGATGACCATAAGGTGCACAAAGCAATTGACGACAATATTCAGCGTTGGGGAGGAAAGATTGATAGCAGTATAATCAAACGTTTATTGACACTTTAAAAGAGCACAATGCTATTGTTCGCTCTTACATGACGATGTACGAGGTATACCAGATGGCACAGGCAAAATTCAAGGACTTGGGCATCGACAGTGTCCCGCAAGTCATGATGAATGTCAAACAAAAAAGAGACGTTCCTGAAGCATTGTCTAGAGATGTTCATCCGAGTACCATTACAAAGCCTGTTTTTGAAAACCAAGTTGCAGCGATTTTTTTGTGTAAGGAGGGCAATATGCCAATCCATGAGGAGCTTGATGAAGGTGTTCGTGTGTACTGTAGAGGAAGTGGTGGAGTAGTTTCTCATTTTAGCAATAATGTGGATGCATTCAGTTATCCCCTCCTATTTCCCCGTGGCGAGCAAACTTTCGTTAAAGATCGTCTTCCTAAAGGTAATCGTCTTCCTAAAGGTAATCAGGCAAAAAGAATGGGTCGCGATTTGAATGACGATGGTGGCGAAATTTATGCTGCTGAAGGCGGTAATGAAGAAAGTTTAGATGAGGAAAGTTCTGACGGTTCAGAAGCTGTAGAAGAGCAAAGCGGTGCAAATATAGCTACTTCGCGAGTGAAAATAATAAACGAAAGTTCTTGTCGCGACGGGAGTTTGCTCTTTATATTATGGCCTGGAGGGGAGATGTAGGAAGACATCGTATTTTGGGAATGGGTAAACTTTGCTCACAATACATATTACATCTGTACACGAGAACTGAAGCCGATCGTATGGCATCAATTAGAAGAAACTGCTTTGAGCTTAGAAGTACAACAGCGAGTACTCTCTATAAGTATACAGATCAAAAGTTGCAGGAGAAAGGTTACAAACTTGGTAAACTTGTGACTATGCCTTCTAACTACGTTGGAAGTAGGAGATGGTCGCAGATGCAGT